AGTCGGTTACAATCTCCCTATGGACATGCTCGCCAACATCCCGATGGTCAACGCCCCTGAATGTGAAACCCTGGGCTTCGACCACAATATCGACGCGTATCGGCAGTTCGCGGGCCCTGCTAACCTTGCCGGCAAGCGCATCATCTCCAGTGAGTGCGGCGCCATCATGAATGAATCCTACCAGCAGTCTATCCCAGAGCTGCTGTGGGATGTGAAGCGGTCTGTCGCCGGCGGCGTGAACCAGTTCGTCCTGCATGGCTACCCGGTTTCCGGAGACTACCCTAAGACGACGTGGCCTGGGTTTACGACGTTTGCGTATCTCTTTTCAGAAATGCACGGGCCGCGTCAACCGGCCTGGGACTTTGCTCAAGAGTGGCTAGATTGGACGGCGAGGACACAGTTTGTCGCACAGACTGGGGTGCCCAAGATAGATTTGGCATTTTGGCTCAAGTCGACGTCGTATAGAGATCTCACCACTATGTATGCACCATTGGACCTCCAGACTGCAGGTATATGGTTTCTTTCGCTTTCCCCCTTTTTCACACCTGTATGTGGACCATCACTCACTAATGACTGGTTGCAGGCTACACCTATGAGTATCTGAGCCCAGACAATTTCGGTCTCGCTGAAGCACAGGTCGGCGACGGAGTATTTGCACCCAATCGCCAAGCTTTCAAAGCTTTGATTGTCCGCGCGAACGACTCGCTGACGCTGTCTGGCGTCCACAGTCTGGCTGAATACGCGAATCAAGGGCTTCCAGTCATCCTCTCCGGTGGGATTCCATCGACAACAATCGGTCACAACCAGACCGGCAACGAGAACCTGACCGCCACGATAGAGGGTTTGACGCAGCTCGACAACGTGCATGTCGTGCCTTACGAAGATCTGGCCTCCTCGCTGGCATCACTCAATATCTCGCCTCGGACGGAAATTGTCTCCAATGGCTCGTGGTACACATACTGGCGAGAAAATTCGACAGAGTCATCCGAGTTCATCTTTGTTTACAACGATGCGACCAACGTTCCTTTGGGTGAAGGCATGACCATTGGAAATATTTCTTTCGAGACAACAGGCACCCCATTCCTCTACGACGCTTGGACTGGTGAGGTGACCGCTCTCTCGGCAGTTGAGCAATCGGAGACGCACACCACATTGCAGCTGCAACTGGCTGGGAACCAGTCCGTCATCATCGGCTTTCGATCAGGAGCTGGCAACAGTAGTGTGCTTCTTGGCGGAGAAAACAGCGTCGTGAAGGCTGTGAGAGACGTGGAGCCGTTGGCATCCGAAGCGTCGACCCTATCAAACTGGACACTCGTAATCGAATCATGGGGGCCTCCTGTTGACTTATATGACATCGAAGCTGGTTCCACAAAGTCAAATACCAGCTACACCCTCGACACACTCATCCCATGGTCTCAAATATCGGACTCGCTGCAAGATGTCTCGGGACGTGGGTACTACCATACCACCTTCACCTGGCCACCTGCGTCAAACAGCACGGCCTCGGGCGCGGTGCTCGATTTGGGCGCTGTTGTACATACCGCTCGCCTGAGTATCAACGGCCAGGTCGTGCCACCACTGGATCCGACGTGGGCGAAGGCGGACGTGGGGAAGTTTTTGATAGATGGCATTAATGAGGTGGATGTCGTGGTGAGCACGCCGCTAGGCAATGCGCTGAGGAGTGTGTGGAGTGATCTGGAGACGAGTGGACAGTTGGCAACGGTAACCGTTCCGACGCCGCCTGGTGTTGCGGACTATGGACTGGTGCAAGATGTGCGATTGATACCTTATTAGGGCTTGTCTGTGGTAAGCTTTTGTCTCCATTGTTAGCTGACCCGGATATGAATACATTTGTAAAGGTGTCGAGCAATCCTCGCCTCGATCTCGTAAATGGTGCCCACGCCACAATGTTCCATCTTACCAGCCTCTATGCCTGGGATCGAGACTGGTTTCTGCCACTGAACATCTTTCCGCTCATTCACCATCTACATGCCTTTATCTGCATTTGTTGGCCAATCTCCACCCCACACACGTCAGCACAGCCCCCCTTGCGCCCATCTTTGTTTGGCCTCACTGCGCCGCCATGCAGCAACCCTGTCTGGCCTGAATGCGTGTAAGATGATTGGCCAACATGGACCCACTTTAGAAAGACTGCTGAAGATTAAAATCCGGCGTGACTCCTCATCATCCTCAGGCTCGCTTTCTTTTTGTTTTCCTTTTCATCCAATTCTCCAACTTACTTTTCAATTCTTGAGCTGCTTTCATCATGTTCAATATCCTGTCAACTGCCTTCTTGTAGTCTCAATCTCTCATGCACGAACATGTCGACGTCACGTTCATTCTGTCCGGAGCCGGGCGGGGGATTGTCGCGAATCCATCCTCACAGCGAGCCAACTACCGACGAGACAACCTCGACTTTCACGACTATACTGCCGTACATTTCCACCACGATTGAAATCGTGTTCATAAGCGCTGGATATCCTAGTACGCAAGTTGCCTCGGTCGAGGACTTCAGATCTGCCCACGCTGTGTCTGCCGTCGACGTCATATACAATAGCTTCGCCAACAAAATCATCAACTCCGACAATAAGTCCCCGGTCCTTGGTTACATCATTAACAAGACCCAAGACGACAATATAACTCAACCACCCGAGCGAATTGATAATGACTACGTCAGATGCGACCAAGACGCTCGAAACGAGCCAAGCGATCTGATCTGCTCTGGTGCGGTTCAACCGAACAAGACCTTGTGTATGGCTCCTAGCTCTACTGAAAGTTGCAGCACTAGGTCGGCTCCGAACCAAAGTTCCACTTGCACGCATTCACCTGCGGAGCAGTCGATCATGAGACGTTACTCGGATGCCTTGCTTTGCGAGATGGCAACAGGCAGAGCCACTAGCACATACAGCTCAGTCGTCGATGGCTGTGCCCGTGAAGCCACGAGCCAGGTGCATTTGCAAGCGCTCAGCTTCGATGAACGAGAACCCCTTTTCCCAAAGAGCAACATGACACCCATGGCTCATCACGGGAACGGAAGATCCATGGCATTCACGGAGCGATTGGACGTCAAGGCCAGAGATGTGCTGAAGGCAGCAAGTTGCTCTTCTGGAAGGACCATTCAGAATCATGATATCATCAAGTCACCGCCGCCAACTTTGCTCTACTTTGCTGTCATCATGGTACGTTTATCTCAATAAGCAAGGCACCTGATTTGAACGCAGGCTGATCAACATACAATAGACGTCCTGGCCCGCACAGATCTGGACGCAGCTTCTCGCGCAAGCTGACCTCTTGCAAAATGCTGTTGCTCCCAAGTTCCCAATTGGAAGATACTTCCAGTCTAAGACTCTCTCAGCAACGTCCATGAAGGCCTCGCCAACTAGCGGGGTGTTTCAATCCCTTGGGGACCCGGGATAACAAACGCACTTGCATGCCAATTTTCAGAAAATTGGTACATATATCAACAAATCGCTCGAGACAATCTGAAAGCAAGAACGTCTTCAAGAATTTCCCTAAAGACGAGCTACAAAAATCGATCACGCGCACGCTACAGCCGCCTCACAGCAACTGAGAAAGACATTGAGGCCAGCTTACTTTTATTTCGCCCACCCTAAGAGCCCACGGGCCAGCCACGATGGAGTATTACCTGAACTTTGGGACGCAAAGAGCGGCCCACAAAGATAACGACATGGGAAATCCAGAATTTGTCGAAATGAACCTCGACGAGCTTGACGAAATAGCGCGTCAATTGGAGTGGGACATCTCGAACGACATCGACATTACAACGACACACATTTGTGAGGACAACACAACCCAAGAACACACCATCCCAGGCGCTGTAATGGAGCCATGGCTCTCCTCGCATTGCTGCGAGTATAACCCATCAGACACAACCTTAGAATCACCACTATTCGGAAGCCCCGACACGCCCACAACAGCCAGTCTCCACGAAACTCCAGCGATGCAGGACTATGAGACTCCCGGAGACTGGGCTGCCTCTTGGGACACGGACGCGCTGGGAATTATACCGGCACTTCTGGACTTCCCTCTCGTTACCGAACTTGAGTGGCCCATGCTGGACGACTCGTGGCTGAACGTGGAGTTCGACTCGGCCGCGGCGTGGGAGGAGCCCTTACAACACCAACTGGCCCCCAGAGGTTACGCGTCCTCCGCAGAGACCAACGCCGCCGTTTCATCTACAGCCATGTGCCCTGCCTCAAAAGCCTCCACTTCGGAAGACTTTAACTGCTCATTCTGCTCCTTCACCGCCACCTCCATCACCAAACTCAAAACACACATCAACAAGCACACGCGGCCCTTCCGCTGCACAGCACCAAGTTGCGACTACGCAACCGCCGAGAAGAAGAGCCTCCAGCGACATGTGTTGGCCAAGGCGAAGTGGGACGAGGGCCACCGTATGGCGGCGGAGGGGCTTGGGGTCAAGGAGATCAAGTATAGGTGCATCGGGGCAGGGTGCGGGTATGTCACGATTAGAGAGGATAACTTGAGGCGGCATGAGGCAAAGTGTCCCGCGCTAGAGGGAGGAACTGGGAGGGCAAAGTAAGTAACAAAATAACAAAGCGATAGCAGAGTTCCAGGTTTGGGTTTTGATTTCCGTTTATTCATCCAATGTCCTAGCTTTTCCATGGCTTCTAGCACTGTTTGCCGCAATTCATTATGAAATGACAATATCTATCATGTCTTGACAACTTCGCCGATGTGTTGCTCGTGGTGAGTATGTGCAAGAGCAACGTTGTGCACTGAAATTACCCAAGCTGGTAGTATGTATATCTCTTACCCAGCTCCATCGTCCATCCAATTCTGCTCAATGTTACGCAATATTTGAGTACTTGACCTATTTGAGTTGCCGTTTGGCAACTTGGAGAAGAGCGCTCAGCGGAGCCGGTCCGACAAATGTTTTGCGCTGTGAGTCAGCGTTGACCTTGGGATCCACCTTGATATACAAAATTTTCATCACAGGTTTTTCAACAATCAGCCTCGCCCGGCTAGCTCAATCGGTAGAGCGTGAGACTCTTAGTATTCTCACGGATTCTGAAATCTCAAGGTTGTGGGGTACGTTCATCTGCAAGTCCTGTGTTCGAGTGCTTCGCTAACTCCCTGTTCAGTTCGACCCCCACGTCGGGCTCAATTCCCGTCATTGGATTCTTTTTTTGTGCAACCTTGTTTCTACCGGCCAAGCAGAATCGAACTTGTATACATTCAAACTACCTTGGATGTGTCATTACCTCGATATTCTTTTTTAATAGAAAAGAAAAGTTCTTCTTCCAGAGGTGGTGGTATCTATGTTTGTAGACCCGCACTATAGAACCACTTCGGCGAGGTACCCTGATGCAAAACAATAAATCTATTAGCGGAAAAGAGCAAACCCGAGGACTGGCGGAGACGAATACAATCTGAACCAACTTCCAATTGGACGTGTCTTCCCCGAATTAGCAAGCATTATCCATGAGCAGTGTAATCTATGTTTCTATGTGAGCCGGATATTGTCCGAAACAAACACCCATATGCTAAAAGCAGGCTTTCCTGTGTATTTGAACCCCCCGATACAGCGCGAAGAACAGTTGCTATCGTGTCCCAACCAGCTTTCTACGAGGAACGATACGCGAAAATTGAGACACCGCAATCGAGCCCGACATACCGGGTCTGTCTCCTATAAGTTGATTATACTCGCGGCTGAAGTGAGTATCTATGTAGCCAGAGTTCTAGCGTACGAAGATGCAAGGCAACATGACCCAAATCACGATGATACTGGAAAAAAGGCCAGTGCCCAAGGCACCAATGCAAAATGTACATTACATGCCCCTGACGACTGTATCGCTGGAGGGCCCGAAGGTTCACAGTGGACACGCGATGAGATATTACAGCTTGAGAAGAGAGCCCAGGCTCTACTGAGTAAGCAATTGTCGATAAGAGTCCCAATAGAGGAAGATTTTCCAGTGTTCTGTCAATATTAGAGAAAACTATACATGCACACATGAATAGGTAAAATCGCGTGTTCTTGCCTACTGATGTAAGAAGCCCAGAGAAGGGATGATGGTAGCAAATGACGCGTTTGTGAAAATGTCTGCCTTGCGTCTGCTTATATGTCATTTCATTGAGGAGCCTCATTGCTCATAAGAAGACGACGAAGGTGACTTGGTTCAGGGACAGTAGCACGCGAGATTTTCACTTGTATAGAAGTGTCTCTGTAGAGCAACTGTATCCGTCATATAGGCACAAACTGCAACAAGTGGTCCATACACGTCCCCAAAGTCAGGCAGCGGATCTGCCGATTGATCATTGTTCAGGAATCTCGTCCTCATCTACAAAATTACCTCGGAACCCATTTTAGGTGCGTACCTAGTAAGACGTCTAGCTACAATCTCGGTCTCTCGTTAATAAGGCTCGGCGGGATTTGGCATTATTCAGGCACGTACATAGTAAAGCCCCGCCAGCTTGCCTGCCTTCTCAAGGTACTGGCCTTGAACAATCCTGGTGGGGAAAAGCAATGACATTTCTCGCACTCCGGCGTATTCCGAGCATATCGTTAGGTACTTGATCCGTAAGAATTCCCTACCTAGCTGCAAAGTGGATTCATTGCACTGCAATTAGATAGTTGAGATCTGAAACATACATTTCTTTCGGCCAGTAAAGTCAGGCCCGAGGTATGGGGTTTGTACGTGCTCTTCAACTTTCTTTTGTGGCAGTCAATGTATTGCCGACGACCGAGATGTTACCTCCGAAATGGTCCCGACTTCTGGGAACGCCGGCTGAGCTATGTCGTAAGACTCCGCTTGCACTGCTTGGGCTGTCATCTTCTGTCTACCTGCTTCATCTTAGGATTCAGTAAACGATGCAAATGATGGATCTCACAACTAGGGCGAGATCTGCATATCTACAGAAGGGAATGCATCAGGAACGGATACCTGGCATTTCTTATAGTGGCCGAATGGTCCAGGCGTGCCCGATGGTACACAACGCTCCCACGCTGGGATGACGGGTCCGGCAACCGTGTAAGACTATTGGTCACTTCCGGACCGCCCAGACGCGATGATGCTCCAACGCCGATCCCCACTTTGCATAGCCCGGTTCCATGTGACTGAAACTGCTACATCGATGGTCCTTCCAGCTTTAGAAGGCTTCTAGAAACACGGCCCTGTACACCTTCCTAGGTATCTCTACTCTCCTTTGAAGATTCTCACATTTCGGCCTCCGCTTGCAGGTGATTAATTCCGATGCTCGGGATATTATCGACCCTGTGATGTTTCTTCTGCCATGAGTCGTGTGACCCGGTCGAACGTTCTGGCAGCCGTTACCCGCCACGCGCGCGCCGCTCCATGCGGTCAAGGACTCAAGAGACAAGGCGTCCCGGTCTCAGTATGCTGCTTGCCGCCGCATACTGGATCTTCGTCTCGGCGGAAAACAGGGCCCAACGGACCCACTAATAAGTCCCCGAGATCAGGTTCGTCCCACATAGTGTGTCTGCTAGCCGACTTTTCCGCCTTATACACGGGGTCCTCTGCTAGGCGGTCGCTCTGGCCCATCATTGTTTGGCATGCTTGACGGTATGGGGGTCCGTTCCGGTCATCCACCGCCAAGAGTCCAGACACTTTGTCAGCCCATAGGGCTGTGAGTCGAGAGATGGGATCCTTGGTCATCCCTTGGTCACCCCTCATGTGTAATCATGAATAAGTACGTAGGCATGTAAAATTTCGACAGGTACTCTTGTACCTTGAGCTGAGCCTGATCCTTCTTGGTGGGGAGTTGTATAGACCATGTTGATAATTTCGACGTGCGGGGGCCACCCGGTGGACGTAGTACGGTAGTGTGAGAAGGTCTCGTTGGGGATGTATATATAAGAGACATACCTCTCGCTCTCCTGTATGACGCTCACCGATCAACACAAGGCAACACTTATAACTTTCAGATCACCAGAAAATCGAAACCACCTGCAACATTCAAATACAAGTATTCTTTCCTAAAACACATAGCTACAACCCGACCACAACACACAAAAGTCAGTTGTCTTTGTTCCTTTCCTGCCAAAAGGCTACCCCGAGTCCCTGACTGACAGACATCAAGGTCAAAATGCAATTTTTCACTGCTACTGCCTTGGCTCTGGCCACTGCTGTCTCAGCCAGCGACTACACACTTTACTGCGGCGACTCTTGCACCACAGGGACAGCTGTGAATACTGGAGACGTTAGTGGCGCCTCATGCACAGACCTCGATACCGCTCAAGCCTACTGCTATCTGGTCTCGGATGAATCCTATTTCAAGGCTGTTGTCTCGAAAGATACCGGTTGCATTGGAACCAACGGTGCGGAGCAGGTGATCTGGCCTGGGGATTGCTTCGAGGGACCATGGGAGTCATATCAGGTTGCGGTGAACTTGTAGTCCTGGCGGGATATGGATTCATGCGACAAAAGCGTTTTGGTTGTTTATTATTTGCTTTACTGATATTGTCCCCCGCGTTCTTTGCGGGAGTGTTTTGGAGTTTGCGGGATGGTCTTTTTGTTACACATTCAATCGAGATTGCTCGTATGGGAAGGAGTTGAGAATCGACCTCATCATCGAATCAATGAATGGCAAGTCCAGGGTGGAGGTCCACTCGCAGATACCTAGCACACAAGATACTATGTACTTTGGTTCGCTTAAGTTTTTTGAGGCATCTGATCTCTCACCTTTGATATGCAAGACATTGCGCCTATATCAGAGCATTGATGGCGTGATATCAACCGGTATCTGACCGGAGCAAGGACTGGAGCAGGGGATGGCCGGAGGCGGTGGGCGATGGCGCAGCTACATTCAGCATAAACCGTACCTCAGTGGCTCAACACACTCACTCTTTTCTTCCACATCGTGCTGGGGCGGGCGCAGCACTGCTGTAGTAATCGGCCACGTCGAAACTTTCAATGGAAAGTGCTCGATGTTCCTGGGCAAATATCATGGGAGGTGTAGACGTTAAATACAGGGATTATGTGCACTATAGATCAGGTGGGGAATGCCCAGTGCCCAGTCACGGCGGATGGCGCGGGTATGCAGACGAACAGACGTGATCGACGATTAAGGAAAAAGCTTGTTTTACGTGCTTCACTTGAGACATTGTGTATGCGAGTAAGGAAGGTGGACGATAACTCCTACATATACCACGACCTCGAGTCCTTCAGCTTGCAGAGAGACCCTTTTTGCTCAACGACCTTCCTGAAGCGATGCCATCGATAACAAACAGAGGGCCTTTGAGTAGCATTCCACATTTTCTCGACCAGTCGGAAGAGCCATCCTGCATCTCGGGCAATTAGGGACCTCCTCGCTTCGATCATGAAAAAACTTTGGTGCCGAGAAAGAATGCAGTCCACACTCCACAAGAGACCGTCAGACAAGGTCGCCGCTCTGCACAATTGTGCTGTGTAGGTACCCAGATAGGTAGGAGAGGAATTCCAGTGGGTCAGCACGCCCACATTCCGAAATCAAGACCCTGACATTTGCCTCGCAACTGGGCGAGGTAATGAGGGGGCGACGTGGCCGACTGCGAAGACTTACAGTCCTGAGTTTAATGTGAGACGAAGAGATTACGCTGAGGGTAATGATACCGTAATTTGGAGCTTCCGATGCTTGAAATAGCATCGACAAGTAGCAAGGTGATGTCTGTCAGGAGGAGGGAGGGTCTGGCCGTGCGCTCGCATAACGTACCCGGGCACGCCGGGCATCCGGGACTTAAGCTTTAGATTTCACACACTGAAATTAGATGCTGGCTTCGACGTCAATAGCACTTCTTATGCAAGATTGACTTTCCTTTCGTCAACAAGGTGTCATCGTTGAATCACATCCTAGCACAGCTGCGCGGATGCAAGGAAGTTGTGTGTGCCTCAGGTGTCTCCCAGGGCTGTCTGATACATCAAATCAAAGAAATTCAGTGGAATCTCGTAAAGGCCATGTGTTGGTTAGATTGATGGTACATTCATTCATATCGAATGTCTAGCCACATTTCTGCTGAACCATTGTCCAGTGTCCACCTGAGCACATTGCTCTGTGTGGGACCACGATTACCTATGTGTATTCCAAATTGTCTTCCCCGAGATATGCCCCGTATACCAAATCCTGCAAGGCTAAAACATTTCTCTACATGAAATTGTCAATTTGAGA